AAATTATTTATATGTAAATTTACCACGTACTTTCATAATTGTATATTTATATAATAAATTTGAGTAAGAAAGTATTTCATTAATTAGATTTTACTCTCTGTGCTAGATCACAATATTCCGACTTTTCTTGTGTTGTGGAAGTTTTCCATAATTGGTTCGTGACTCGGCCTATAAGATTAGCATTAAATTCTCCTATTCTCTTGCATTCCTTTGAAACAGAATATCTAAGTATCCTATAGGCATGGCATCTGTCATTGTCGCGCATAGGCTTCTTAGAATTAAAAAGGTTTAATACTTCATCAATTTCAGGAGGCGGATGTATATAATTTCTGTTTATGTTTGCAAGTAGCGAGTCGAAGTTGTCCATTTTAGATATTTATATAAAAAATTTGTTAGGGATTAACTAGTATTTATATTTTAATATTTTAAAAAATGAAATAAGTATAAATATTAATTCATTTAAAAAAAAAAGTGTACGATCAGCCGATTTATATTTTCTATTTATATTTTTATTTTATTTTATTTATGCGAATTTTAAATTTCTATTAAAATAAAATGATTTAATATATATAATATATCCATTCAATATTATTCCATTATCTTTTAAAAAAAAAACTGGTTTTTTTAAATATTTATTATCGTTATTATAATGTAAACATTTATTTATTTAATTATTTATATATACGTACTGACATTTCTTCTACAACATTTTGATAACTAGATTTTATTTTTTGTCCAATCAACAGTTCATGTTGATCTAGTAGATCTAGTAGCCAATTAGCTCATCGCGTGCTGTTTAAAAATTGGTTTAGTCCTCGGTGATAGTATCCTATTACAGGGATTTTAACGATCCAAGAACAGTATAAGTCAACATCGCAAATATTGAGGTAAAATTGCGCCTCTAGAAACTCTAAGCACTTAACGAAATCAAAGTTACGACCATTTTAATAACTTAATATAAAAAAAATTACAGAATATTTATCTACTACTTGAGTATAGTGGAATGTCAATGTACAGTATTCATTGCAAGAATTTTATTAGAATTAAAAGACAAATTCATAAAAGCAATCGAACAAGAGAACAGGGTTCAGGTATGGAATATTCAGATATAAAGATTTTATTTTTTGAATAATAATCTTTTTATATATTTTAATTATTTTTCTTAATCTAGATTTAATCGTTTTTTTATCAAAGACATTGTACTTAAAGAATTACGCCCAGTACTTTAGCACTTCTTAAGAAATATCCTGATCGTATAACATCTGATATTTATACCCTCTTAGCACAAGAGCCATCTATTGACAAGGTAATTTATTTCACTATAGTAAAATTATTTTTCGTAATACATATTCAAATTTTTTAACGCGTATTCATTTAAAATAATTTAAAATAGGAAGCACCAACTGAGATAAAGAGAGGTTTATTGATTCTGAATAAAGCAAAATTCAAACGTGTCGCTTAAAGAGAACAATTAAATTATGTGCAAAATCTGGGGTTATGTATATACAGTATTTACATATATATATAAATAGAGTAGAACATATAATCCTCAATACTTGAAGAAATTTTTTCACACGAGGATGTGGTTTCAACGAGTACATGTATATTTTAATATATTATTTATATATATACATATTTTTAATTCCATTATAATTATATTATATAATTCATTAAATAAGTTTATTGAAAAAGATCAAGTTCCACATTTATTGTTTTATGGACCTCCCGGTACAGGAAAAACTACAGCAATATTTAGCTTTTGCGAGAAAGTTGTTTGGTTAAAGTTGAAATAATATGGTTCTGGAAGTAATAATTAGAGATATATTTAGAATGTGTGATATATTGAGAGAGTGATATATTGAGTGAAAGATATATAGGAGATATAGAGATTCAATTAATATAATTTGAGAAATTTCATTTTGAATTAAAGTCAAACGCGTCAGATGATCGAGGTATCAATGGTGTAAGGGAAAAAATCAGAACGTATGCAAGTATGTAAAGAATGTTCAGGTATTATAATATTTATAATATACTATATTATAAAGGTTATTAATCATTATTAATAATGATATTAATTTATAATTACTTTTAATAGTAATGGATTCAAACCTATTATATAGGATGAATACATGCAAGCACAAAACGCATTAAGACGAAGTATTAATCTTTAATGCTCTTAATGTTCTTAATGTTGTTGAATGACTTTGAATAATTTATTAATTATATTAAACGATTTGTTTCTTGTGTTCTTCTTTTTTTAGTTGTTGAAAAATCTACCAGGAATGTTCGATTTGTATTATATGTAATTATATTTCTAATATCATTCCAGCATTTCAATCTCATTGTACAAGGTTTCGATTTTCCCCAATAACAGAAAAGGAAGCAAGAATATATAATTTAATATGAAAAGTATGTAATTTAAGATTTTTTATTATAGATTATTTGTTAGTGACTACCGTATTTTTAAGTTTTAACTAAATTATAATATTTTTTTTTTCAAGTGTAAATAAATCACCAGATGGAATTTCTGCCTTATCAAGGATCGATAATGGAGATATGAGAAAAGCTTTAAATAGTTTACAGCTGCATATAATTATATTGATGAAACAGTGGTATATAGATATACTCGAAATCCGGAACTTGAAGATATTAAATATATCGTTAATACGATGCTTAATGATGAATTTACCACAAAATATTCTAGTAAGTGAATATTCAATTCATTATTTTATGTTCTTTAAATTTTATTCTTTGATTTGAATTGTATTCTTTGATTTTAATTGAATTCTTAGACGTTCAAAAGTTAAAGCGAGAAAATAGTTTTGCACTACAAGATATTAACAGAGGTTCATAAATACTTTCTTACTCAAATTTATTATATAAATATACAATTATGAAAGTACGTGGTAAATTTACATATAAATAATTT